CCCCCCCCCTACGAAAACTCATCAGTTTCGTACAAACAATTATCAACGCCCAAGTCACTCTAGCTCATAGAGTTACTTCCTTTTAAACCTATAGTGTACATCTATGCTCTAGCCTAGCTCTGGCAACCCTGGGATAAATAACACAAAAGATAACACACAGGTATCGATGTTTTACAACAGGTATCGATACCGATATAAATACCTATGGGATACCAAAGATAGTAAATAACAGGGATACCCGCCCTTCAATCTTGTCACTAGCACAGAATTCTACACTTACTTATGAAGTGTAGAATTCTGTGGTCACTAGTCACTACTAGCCTAGGCTACATGTAGGCCTACCTCCCCAGCCCCCGTTCACACACAACGGAACCAAAGATTTTCTACTATATAACTATACAAGTACAATCTTCGACGGAACCACCATTCACGGGTAATAGGAAATTAATAGGTTAATTTATTTTAAGTCCTGCCTTCAAGTTCAAAACGATGGAATAGCCCACAAAATAAAACAAGAAGGCTAGGCCAGAGACCATAGATCTAGGCGGGCGACCTGTCAAAATAGAAGGGTTCAAAGTTCAAAGTTCTCCACACCAATGGAGAGGTCAATTGGAGTTTAGTGTGTCTTGTCGTTGCACTTTTCGATGTTTGTCAGCCAGGCTAGCCCACAAGCAAGGAGGACAGTGTAAGCTCCTTGCCCACAAGCCAGGCTAGACACGAGATCTGTCAAGCCTGTTCACTTTTCTCCATAACAGAGAACTGTAAAAATGACTAGACACTTTTTCAAAACCCTTTATTAGTCCCTTTGACTTAGCCTAACCTACCACTAACAATGAGGGATGTGGGGCAGGCAAAAAAGAGAAGGGATGGGAGGGAAAGCAACACATTTTTCATGGTAGCTAGGCTATATATAGGCCGAGCCTAAGTAGCAGCCAATAGAGGGGGTGTGGCAAAATATTATGGTAGACCTACAATACTGTGTTGAAATAGCGTCACTTTCACTTTCCAGCCTTCTTACTTCGTTGAAACATAGGCCCTAGAGATGCAACCCTCAAGCCCATTAAATTGAAAGGCATGAATTTTACCAAATCAATCGTACATCAGAGACCTGATTACGTTACAGAGCGCCAGCACTTGGTCTACATTCTAATTCTACATCACCATCGTCGTGTGAATAGAAAGACTAGAGATCAAGATCTATAGCCTACAAAAATGTAAACAAATCGCCGGCCCTTGCAGTGCCCTGAAGGCCGAAGAGTGGCCCGCCCAGTTGTGGCAGTTCAGCTGTTGAGTGAGGCAGACTTTTCTTCCAAGGGGTTAAAAAAGCAACAAAGCTCAACAGTCAAAGGTGGTAAACAAAATGGATTTAGAAATGTAGATCGATAAAAGGTTGTATTTTTAAAGAGATTTCGTCAAACTAGATTAGATCTTATAATATTATTATATCAGATAATATCGATGAGTACGAGTACAGACCTACTCACAGATTTAGAGTCGTCGCTCCTCTCCTCCCTCACCCTCTCTCGTCGACCACTGCCAAGTTGTCTCGCGTGCGTCGCGTCTAGATTCTAGAATCAACTCACAACTGGTTCCGAACTGCAGACTGCCAAGCAAGTCGTTGTCTTGATCTTAGGCCTACTCGGAAAGGAGGTTGGGATAAAAACAGAAGAAAGCACTGGAATTTGGTTTTAACTTAATTTTAAGCTATAATATAAGCTATCTGTCATAGAGACGGCAGAGTTGGAGATTATATATTATATTAATCTAGATCTAGAATCTATAGATATAT